CTGAAAGTGATGGTCAATAACTTATGGCTTAGTATACTTATATTGCATTTGGTTTGTAGAATTTCAATCCCAGCACTTCAGATCCCAGTATCACTGTCCAGTCACAGAATGACGAAACATCTGTTTGGCTAAGTTTTAATCGGCTATACTTGCCATGAACTTGAGTTGAAAGGTGCTATACACTTGTTAGTATTATGCACAATCTTTTCAATCACTGCATGTTCATACTTGTTTATCCTTGGGGTGAAACGTTCATTTCAATATTTGTACACCCTTGACAAAGTTTATCACAAAAGTGAAACTTGTCTCGTCACAGATCAATATTATTATCGTTTTATTGCAGCTGCTACAGCCGCGGATCATCATCTTGATTGCCATCATTGTCACTCCATTTGTGTTCATGGAGTCGAATCATGTAATGCAGGAGGATGTCACTGCAGTAAGTGTTTTAACAAAGTTCCATTGATTATACAAATTGTTCATCGTTAATCCGGTTAGTGAAACTATGTAAATAAATAAATGTTACATAACAAAAAATTCTATATATATCTTTCTCCATTTTTTTCTTCAATTGATCTCAACCTTAATAATCTAGATTGTAATATATTAATTTCTTTTAATAATCTAGGACATCCAGCCGAAAGGGCAAATGGTCATCATGAACATCATCATGATCACCACCATCAGTGTGTAGAGAATGGCTGTACTCCCTGTCCTGACGGGACCATTCCACACTGTGATCACCATTCGGGTTGCCATGCATGTTAAATGTGTTATTCACCAAATCTGACTGGAGAAACGGGGTACGTTTAAATTGAGAAAGTATCGTCCCTATTTTGATAATTATGATAGTGAATATGCACAGCAGCTTCTTCCTATATTTGCTACCAAAGACAAAAACTTAAAATAAATCTAAATGGCACAATGATTAGTTGTGTATCTGTGTTATTTACAGTATCAGTGAAAATTATACAGCGTGCCTTATTTAATTGTTTTAATTGCTTGTTTTGTGATCGAAGAAAATCGATGATTGTCGTCTCAGCCAACGTTTTGAGTTGGTTTCTAAGCTTTGGCTCTAGTGTCACTTATCATACACTTTTTGGAACAATTGCTGGCTACACACAATTCATGTACTATATATCTGTTTCCTTATTATTGCGTCGTTTAAAAAAAATCGTAGACAAATGGTATATTCTTTTCTCTGTTGATTTAATGTCATGAATCTGCTTACATAAGTAAATTTTTATTTTCTTTCTTTTCAGACGGAAACCAAAGCTGCGATAAATTTAATAGCAGAGCCTTTCTGAATGTTGGAAGCTTTCAAATAAATTATATTTTCAAACATCTTTTGGCTTTGCTCTTTATCACGCAACGTAATTATTGCTGGTTAGCTATGCGTGTTCAATTTTACCCATACAAGATTTCATCACAGGCCTGATATGCTGGAGAAAAGACACGATACCTGGTGTAATGGATGTATATTTAATTCAGTACATTAATCAATATAACAAGCAATAGGCTAACGAGAAAGTATACAAAACAAAGGAAGCAATGTCTGCTTTAGCCAATGGCTTCACAAATAGAGACAATCTTACTTAGATGTCGTAATACGCCCTTCCATCAACCAATTTTAAAAAAGGTAAATTTTCCTGAAGCCAATGTACTACGAAGGGAAAAATAAGTTTCATTGTGACTGATTATCAGTTAGTATATTTTAGTGACATTTTATAGAAAAAGATGTTTCCGGAAGTATGGTTGGCCACCATTAGAGTATTTATAGCAAAGAAAAACGAATCCAAAACGATTCCCTTTATAACAGAATGTATTTCTATTGTAATAAATAAACATTTTTCAATATCACAGTTGTATTACTTATATATTTTTACAAAATTGGTTCACAGATCTGCATTATCCTTGTTTACTGCTAAATATCCCCAAAAAATCTACAGATTCTCACTTAATTGACCTATTTTTGTTTTTTGTGTTAATGTGTTCCTGTCACACTAGAGTGAGTAGAAAAAGCAGCTATAAATAAACGACCTGGAGAGGTGTTTATTTCGCATTTCAAATGAAATGAAGCTTTCCTCCACTATCCAAACCTGGCACCACAAACCGCCATTTTAAAGAGGGCATATAGTGGTCTACTCATGTCGGCTGGATTGCGACACTACGGATTCGTGTCTTTCTACTATTTTCAAGTATCATTATATGTTGGTATCGAATATATAGAAATACTTCATGCCTAAATTAAGACTACATTATTGTCGATAATATTTAACGGGTGAGCTCCTTTAAGATTTCCATACATCGTGTATCGCGAACATATATATACAGATATGTGTGTTTTTTATTTTGCTTTTTGTTTTTGTGTTTTAGTCCCTTTTATTGACGCAGTTGAAACACTCTCTTGATATAGCTTTGGACTATACACGTTATGTAATACTAATAGAGCACATCAGCATTGACTTACTAGCAGAAAGTAACAATGATCACAGCATTCTTACTCAACAATATAAACGGCCCATATGGCCTTTATTGTTCACCTGGCTTCAAATGGCTTAAATTACGTAATCAAACTAAGGGGCAGACGAATTGTTATAATCCAATCACACAACACATCTACCTTCTCGTTGGGCTGTGACTCTCTGTCCATTGGAGAACTGCCAAATCATTTATGCATGCTTCAGACCAAACTGAGACGGAATCTTGCCATTCCTACAAACCCAAAATTTATACATTTTTTCTGCTTTCCCAACATGCAAACTAACGAGCAACACCATCAATCTTTATTCCTCATATAAACGAGAGAAAAAATAATAAAGATAATTTACAAAGTGAAATTAATCAGGAGTTCAGCATTATTTCATATCTCGGAAATTGACTCAGTTAATCGCACTGACGGCACTGAAATATAGTTTTGCACATGTTCTTAGATAGAATGCACAGTCGGAAATAAATTCCGTGTCCTTCGTCTCATTATTATAACAAAGCAACGTGTTCTGTCCTCTAAAAAGTCTTTACAAAATCCTCTTCCGGCAATCCAGAAAGGGTGACGTATGCGTGGACGCCGTAATAGTCTACTACTTTTGACATAAAAGTATCTCATAGGATAAAAGTAATAGTACAATTAGTCACAAAGTGCCTGATGACGTCACACATGGGCCGTTCACAAATCCTATAAGTTTGATATTGCTCACTAGGTATACATGTCAGCATCTTACATAGAAACAGTTTCGTTGAATTTGGAATATCTGGTTGACGTAAAACTGTGTAAGGTTCACAATAAGAAGAATGTATATCCTTATAAAGTCACGGTCAACATTCATTCTTCTGGATAATAGTTCATTTTCACAGCCGTATAATACGGACGAGAGAATGACTTTCTTGAAGATACTTATTAGAGTTAATGGGTTAGTATAAACACAGTCAGCATCTAGTCGTGTAATGGCGTGAAGCATATTCCGACCTTTCCTCCACGCATTCTTTATGGCGGTCGAGCATTTCAGGTCCGAAGACACCGTTACGCCTAAATGCGTTTCCGATTCCGCTATTTCTACCTGTGAACTGTTCAGCTGCCATGGGGAGACGCAGCCATTTCTGCGAAAACAAAAGGTAAGTCCAGAGCATTTTGATGAATTAAAGTTAAAGTTCCATCTTACAGAGTAATTATTAGCGACATTTAAAAGAGTTTGCAATGCCTTTGGACTTGTGGTTACTAAGGCAATATTAACTGCCAAACATGGACAACAACACGTCACAGAGATAACGCGGGCGCCGACATTCGTAGATTCTAGATCGTTCAGAAAGTCGTTCATGTGAACAAGGTACATAAACGTGGAGATAATTTTACCCTGCCTAACTGACCTTTGCAAGGGAATCCATCTTGATACAACACGATTAGATAATACCTCACTACTGATCCCTTCATACGAATTGTATTGTATACGGAATAGATAACCAGTCATTCCAAGATCATATAGTTTTTCAAAAAGACCTCTGTGTTGCACAGTATCAAAGGCCTTGTATGTGTCGAGAGATGCCACAAAAAATTTGCTATATTGTTCTATATTTTCGTATATGGTTTCATGGAGGTTAAATGACGCTGTGATACAACTGAGCCCTTTTTGGAATCCCTGTTGTTGTTTATTCGGGAATGCGATATCCTCAGACTCAATCCACTGCAGTACGCGAGTTTAGACCACTTTCTCCATTAGTTTATATAAGACAGGAAGAAGCGATATAGGCCTGTAGTTATTAGGGTCGTTCTTTTTCATCTTTCCGCCTTTGAAGATGGGAACTATAAGCCCTCTTTTCCACGATTTTGGGATATTACCTGTGGCGCGAATGTCATTAAAATCTTTGTAATTGTTTCTACTAGCATTTTCCCCACAATAACGAATATGTTCGTTGGTTATTGAATCCATGCCCGGGGCTTTGTTAAATTTGAATTGTCTTATTGCTGTATCAAGTTCTTCAAATGTGAAAGGGGAATCTAATTCATCGACGTCAATAAGCGGGAAATCGTCAATAGAGCCATCGTTTGTTCAGTCGGCATAGAGATGTTGATAGAAATCAGCGAATGCTTCCACAATGTAATGATAACTCATAAGATGGCGGACTGTGAACAAGTGTTTTATTCCCATAACGAGGCTCACACAAGAACCTATGACGTAACACACACACAATACAAGTTATACTAATAACTGCAATAATTAGATGAACAACATGCGTGTGATATCATTACATCTCCCCCCCCTTTTTTTGAGATAATTCATAATTATTAATCAATATGCTATTATGTTATATAGTGTTACTGTTAATGAATAAACAATTAAAATTTAGAAAAATGGTTTTTTTTGTTGTTTTTTTTTCAAATTTTACCACAGTTCATTAACAGTCTATATTTTTTAACAAAACAAAAATTAATTTGAAACAAATAACAGTTCACTGGATTCACACAGAATTTTAACCTGTATTTATGGAACATAGTCATTTAAGTACTATGGTTTTTTAATTACACGCCCAGTAGATGTTTTAGCAGGGACAGCTGGCTTTGAAGATTCCTGGCTGAGGTTTTTTGGATGGTCAAGGTCCTCACGATACAACTCGGGTTGTATTTCACTACTATTTGGAATATCAAGTTGGTATTCATGATGTTTAACCTGAGGATTGACATCAAGCTGTTTCTTGGTAAAATGTTCTTTTGACCGAAGAATGTGATTGGAGTTTCGTCGATAAGCCCTGCCTTGTGAGTTCACAATGTATGAGCGTGGTGCTGAGTCCTTTGCGACTACGCGTCCAGGTATCCAGGGAGAATTACCAGGTTTGATTCGGACTCTGACATTTTGTCCGATTTCAAATGGAGTTGCTTCCCTTGCTCCAATGTCATGGTAATGTTTCTGAAGTAATCTTTTACTTTCCAAATTTTCCTTCACATTTACAACTAGTTCTGGTTTCAACAATGTTTCTGATGTAGGTAACAGAGTCTTGGTTCTTCGACTCATGAGTCTCTGTGCCGGTGATCCTAGGTTCGAGTCTCTGGGTGTATTCCTGTGATCCAATAGGGCCAAGTATGGATCTCGCCCATCTTGTTTAGCCTTTTTTAGAAGCTTTTTGACAGTTTGCACAGCCTTTTCGGCCATTCCATTAGATTGTGGAAACATAGGACTTGAGGTCCTGTGTTCGAACCCAAACTCCTTGGTGAATCTCTGAAATTCCCGACAATCAAACTGAGGACCATTATCAGTAATAAGTAATTCTGGTATTCCGTGGCGTGCAAACTGTGATTTGCAGTTGATTATAACGGTTTCGCTCCTGGTATCCTTCAACTTTGACACTTCAAAGAATTCTGAATAATAATCTACTAGAACTAAGAAATGATCACCATCTATCTGACACAAATCACCACCCACTTTCGACCATGGTCTCAATGGAACTCCATGAGGTATGAGTGGTTCTTTTGGCTTGCTCATCCTGTTTTCCTGACAAATAGCACAGCGCGACACTACATCAGATATATCTTTGGACATTTTGGGCCAAAATATAACATCACTAGCCCTTTGCCTACACTTTTCTACACCTAAGTGAGATTCATGATTTTTTTCTAACATTTCACATCTCATAGCACTTGGAATAACAGGCCTTTCACCTTTTAAGATCACACCATTTCGTACACTAAGCTCATCACGAAAATTCCAGTAATCTAAAGCTGGTGACGGAACATCTGACCTGTTGTCCGGCCATCCGAGTAGAATTAGTGATTTAACAATTTTCAGGGATGGATCTTTCTCTGTTTCCTTGCTGATCTTGTTAAATTTCTCGTCAGAGACTGCTGATACACTAAGAACTTCGTAGTCATCCTCCAGTTTTGTTGTGTCGCCAACTTCAGGCAAGTGTGCTCTACTCAAGGCATCTGCGACATGGAGTTCTTTTCCTGGTACATACTTTATGTCAAGGTCGTATGGTTGAATCTTCAATAGCATTTTCTGCAGTCTGGTTGGTGCTAAGTAGAGTGGCTTCCTCACTATGATTTCAAGTGGTTTATGATCAGTCTGTACAGAAACTTTCTTTCCGTAAATGTATTGGTGGAATTTGCTTGTGCCAAACACTATTGCCAACATCTCCTTCTCTATTTGAGCATAATGTTTTTGTGCGGTTGTGAGAGATTTTGACGCATATGCCACTGGCTGGTTGTTTTGTAATAGCACTGCTCCAAGTCCTGTTGAGGACGCGTCGACTGACATTGTTACTGGTTGTTTAACGTCGTAAAACTTGAGCACAGGTGCCTCACTTACGAGATCTTTCAGCCGTTTGTAGCTATTTTGTTGTGATTGGCCCCAATCCCAGCAAACGTCATTTTCCAGAAGTTGCCGAAGTGGTGCGCTGACTTCTGCCAGGTTTGGTATAAACTTAGCAACATATTGAACCATACCTATAAATCTCATCAATCCTGCCTTGTCTTCAGGGTCAGGCATTTCCTGTATTGCTTTCACTTTCTCCGCATCTGGTTTCAAACCCTGAGCGCTGAGTGTATGTCCAATATAGTTTAATTCTGTGGCTGCTATCTGGCATTTTGACTTGTCCAGTTTCACATTAGCTTTCCTAGCCGTTTCTAGTGCTGAACGTAGCCTAGCATCATGTTGTTCACGTGTCTCACCCCAAATAAGGATATCATCCACTATTGGTTCGACACCATCCAAGTCCTTGAAAACTTCTGACATGGCTCTCTGGAATACTTCAGGTGCACTTGATAAACCAAATGGTACTCTGAGGAACTTATAACGTCCGAAAGGTGTGTTGAATGTGCACAAGTTACTGCTTGGCTCGTCTAGCTCAATTTGCCAAAATCCTGACTCCGCGTCGAGTTTTGAGAAGTACTTGGCGTTTGCTACTTTAGCTGTGACGTCTATCGTTTTCATAGGAAAGTGTTCTCTTTTAATTGCCTTGTTCATATCTTTGGGGTCAATACAGATCCTGAGTTTATTGTTTGATTTTTTCACTACCACCATCGAGTTAACCCAGTCGGTTGGCTCATGTACTTTCTCAACTACGCCTAATTTCTCCATCCTGTCAAGTTCCTGTTTTACTTGGTCATGTACTGCTAACGGTACTTTGCGTGGAGGGTGAACAACCGGTTTCACTGTAGGGTCTATTTCAATATGATGTTTGTAGAATGATCCTTGTAATCCACTAAAAACATCTGAATATTCCTTCAGGATATCTGTGTTTTGTTTTGTTTCTGTGCTAACAGGATCAACTTTCTTTACAAGATTCAACTCTTGACATGACAAAAGTCCAATAACTGGGGTGACGTCTTGCTCAACGACATGACAATCTAGCACGTAGTATCTATTCTTGTACTCGCACTGAACCATTGCACGACCAACGGTTTGAATTCTCTCCCCTGTCAGTGTATACAGTTTTTTGACATTCTTTCTACTCACTGTTTTTCCACCTGCAGCTATGTAGTCTTTTTTCGAGATCACATTACACTGAGCCCCTGTGTCTATTTTAAATTTCACAGATTTGTTTTTCAGTCGAAGGTTTACAAACCATTCATCATTATTTGTCACTGACTCTGTGCTGACTTTGTCCACTCGTACAGTTCCAATAAACAGATCTTCAGTGTCATCGTGTGTATCTATCACCTGTACCTTTCCCTTTCTATCTGGATTCTTATAACGGGTGTTGTACTTGGGTTGACCTTGAGTTTGAACTCGTCCATTATTTTTGTTTAAGTCAGTTCTACACATCATGGCGAAATGATTAAGTTTCTTGCACTTATTACACGTTTTCCCATATGCTGGACAGTCATTTCTCAAATGATCTTTGCCACATTTCTGACATTGCGACTTACCCGTGTGTGCCGACTGTGACGGGCCGCCTCCTGTCTGTTTCTGTTTCACCACGTGGACCGATTTATCATCTTCACTGGTTAGTGATTTCAACCGTGATGCACTCATTTCACTAGCACGACAAATGTCAATAGCTTTCTTGAGATTTAGATCAGAGTCTCTCAACAGTCTTGCCCTTATTGTTTCATCTCGAACCCCACATACCAGTCTGTCCTTGATCAAGCTATCACAGAGGTCACCGAACTCGCACGTGGTCGCCCTTGTCCTCAACTCTGTAACATACTGGTCTATCGTTTCTACCGCCTGCTGATTTCGAGTGAAGAACACGTGCCGTTCAAATGTTACATTTTTACGAGGATTACAATACTGCTGAAACTTATCTGTAACAGGTTCCATTTTCTCTTGATCACCTTCGTTGTCGAACTTGAAAGTGTTGAAAACTTCCAGCGCATCTGTGCCGATCACATGGAGAAACGTTGCCGTTTGGATTTTTTCATCCTTTTTATCGATCCCTGACGCAGTAAGGTACAACTGGAATCTTTGGTACCACTTCCGCCAATTTTCCGACAAGTTCCCGTCCATCTTTAGTCCTTCAGGAGGCTTTAATTGGTCCATTTTTACTCTGGCACCATGTAATGATAACTCATAAGATGGCGGACTGTGAACAAGTGTTTTATTCCCATAACGAGGCTCACACAAGAACCTATGACGTAACACACACACAATACAAGTTATACTAATAACTGCAATAATTAGATGAACAACATGCGTGTGATATCATTACACACAATTCCTGTAGGGTCTCGAATGAGCGTATTCCCTGAAAGAACCTATGTGCATTCGTCCGTCGTCTGGTTTTCCCTCTTACGAACAGTTCGCCACAATAATCCGATATCCGTATCAGCTGCTTCATCAAGTTCGTTAATTCTGTCATATACTCGTTATATGCTTTCGTGTGCATATTCCTGAAGTTGTTTTTGGCTTCTTTCTATTCACGGTATGATTGAAACTGCATACCACGTGGTTTATTCTCGCAGATCCACGCGAAACGTCTATTCAAAGCGACATTATGTGCATTTGCAAGGTCATTTGTCCAATATTGTTTCAGTTAATGCTTGACTCGTGAATTAGGAATAGCTTCTTTTAATGCTAAAGACATACACAATACGAGTTGTTCATAAACAGCATCTAAACCAAACTGCGTAGTTCCATCAAGGTCTCTAATTTTCTGAAGTTTATCTGTTACCAGGAGTTGATAGGCAATAAAATTTTCTATGCGTGTTTATGCCATGCAACATTCCATTCACCAATAGCGTTTCCAATACTTGTTTCGTAATACGCAATGTCAAAGTAAAAGCTTGCTATGATTGGTAGTTGATCAGATGCAAGTTCTATTTCTGCGTTTTCCAGTAAGCAACACTTTGCGATATTGGAGACAGTAGTTTGATCAGTAAAGATATAGTCCAACGTTGTTTGACATGGTCTAAACGTGAACTTTGGCCCCGCGCACATAGGTAGGGTATTTACCACACACAAATTCATATCGTTAATGACATAATTTAGGGCGTTCGCTTTCTGCTTTGCTACGTGGTATTTAGGATACTCAAAAATGCGCGCGTTAAAATCCCCGGCTACAATGACTTTCCCTCTCGGTTCATAAAAGGTTAAAATGTCATGAAGGTATTGCATTGTAAGCTTGTATTCGTCAAAGTTGCTATTACTTTGCATATACACTTCAAATATATATATATCGGTCTTGTAAAGTTGTTTCCGTATATTTCGACAGCTACTATACGACTGTTCGCTACCTCGTTTAATGAACGCACTGTGAATTTAAAAGACATTTTAACAAGAAAAGCGACCCCGCTATTTTCGACAGGTTCCACAGGTTGTTTGGCACAAATAGGGTAGTATGGGGAATTAATTGCTTCCAGATATTGTAACAAGTTATTGCATAATTTGTGTTCCGTAATAGCAATAATATTGCAGTTCGTGTCTTGTAACAGTTCAGAAACACACTTGCTCGAGGAAAATATTCCTCTCACATTCCATGTCATTATTGAAAATGCAATGATCAATGGCAACGTTACTGATATTGTTGACATGTCAGATGCATGAACAAACGAACAGTCTAGTCGTAGTCGTTGCGGTCTGGGTTATATCCCCACGTGTTTTCAGAATCTCGACTATAGCGGTCATAATAGTCTCCGTTATCCTCGTACCAGTCGACGTTATTTGAACGACGGTTAACATCGAACCCACTATCGTTTGTTTTCCATCTTGACTGATTGCGCGAATTATTTTCTTTATTGTCAAGTCTTTCTTGCCACTCTCTATTGCTGAGCCACGGTCTACAGATGAAGCTTTCAGGCCAGAAATTATCCTAGTCAATTTTACTCGCGTGATCGGCTGTCACATGAAGTTTGGCGGTGTATGAACCATTTTGTTGCTTAAACAATCTAAGATCTGTTACCTTGACCCCCTTATCTCGTACATAATTAAAAATTCCAGTTTTTGTAGTTTCTGGCCCTATACCTCTCAGGTAATACCGCGCTGTGCGTTTCACACCAATAAAAACATCCTTGCCATCCGAGCCGTTGCATTTTAGCGATTTTTCAGTCTCCTTGTTAGTATTTTCTACTTCTCTGTTCTTTTTCTCACTTACGTTCACCGAAAAAGAGTTCGAGCGGGGTGGTGAGCGTTCCTTTTCAATATTTCCTCTGCGCGTATACTTTCCCATAGTGTTACTGTTGGAATACTGACTATCGCGAGTTAAACACGCTTTTTCACCGTCGAAGCACGTTTTTGTTGTGTTCCGAGTTTCACTATCACTGTTTATGGCACCATAACAGAAAGTGCTATTCGGAATGCAATGTTTAGTCAAAGTTCCGTTATTCGTCCGATTGCTGGAGGTACTCGTATTATCGCGCAAGCCCTGTGGTCGGTCATCCGTAGCACAGTTACCCGGTCCCGTCTCGCCTTGTATCACCGTCAACCCAGGTTCGGTGAGTCCAGCTTGCGTTTTCGAAGGACAAACACTGCTAATTTAAATTTAACAATTTATTTAACAACAAACGTAAATTAAGGACAACAGCATAGGCCTACACAGACACAACAACATCCACATCTATACCGAAAACATAAACTTACCTACTAACTAACACATCACTATTCCACCCCGCTATATAGCTTCCCACCTGAATGATGTCTAATTAACTGAACATATCCCTAGACCTACCTCAGAGAAGGTTTTCACCTCTGGAAGTCAATCCAACGCTCTGCACCCAAAATTACTAAACACACTACAACTTATACTCTAAAATGACAATACGAGACAACTAGAACCAATCACAACACACCACAAGAGACAGAACACCCCTGACATAGACGAAAATGCAAGGAAAACAAGACAGGAGAACTTGCACGTGATATACATAGACCTCCGACAAAACGGGTAACAGGTGACAGGACAAAACAATGAAGGGGTCATGGGTACACAGGGTACATACACTACAGTAGACATGACACACGAACACCTGTATAAAGCTGACTAAAAAATCAAGCATTGACAGCTTTACATCACCTAAAATTAAACATGACATAATGTCCCCCGCTTCACCTGTATCAGTTTTATCACGTGCTTTTCCTTTTGAAGACTCTCTTTCAGCGACAGTTCGATGGATTTTAATCGTTCACATACCGAATGTAGAATACTAGTGTCTTCTAGTTCAAAACCTTTATTGATCGGAACAGTCTGACTCCTATTTTCCGAAGGAACTAAAGGTTGCCTCCAAAGCACTAGGTCACTCAGTGGAGTACCTGACAACAAATCGCTCGATAGAGTTCCCTCTTGAGCCTCTGAGGCACATTTACCTTTGCTGAACACATTTTCAATTTCTGAGGAATCGTCAAGTACGACTGCCTGTATGATAAAACAATCGTTTGCGTATTTTATATGGCTTGGATTATTTGTGCACAATGGAACAGAATATTTCTTATTGAGGCCACTATGACTACTGCGAAACTTTCCCATATCTTATCATCAACCTGCATCTATTGAAACTCTGTGTTACCAGTTTGTCTCTCAGTTGACGACTTCTTGCGAGAAAATCGTGATAATGGGAACAGGCACTTGGATATCAAAACAATCGTGACATGCAAATATCATAGATAGGGAATGCAAGGTTGTTGGGGGGAAAAATCAACGACCTGTATCCAGTACCTGGCGACTGTGCCATATAGGTCTCGATCCTCGATCCAGAGGTGGAGGTCTACTGATACTGACAGTCAGATGCCTTAGACACTCAACGGGAAGTGTGTATCATGGTCTAATTGTAGTATTTAACACCAGTAACGCTTGTATCAATTAACTAGACTCCGAAATATATGGGCCTGACTAAGCTACACGTGTATGTATGTACTGTATCCGGAACGTCCCACTGTTTCCTCAGGTGCTACCTGTTTTTTCTTTCACCCATTGAACCAAACGACGCTATGATAGGATTAAATAATCTGAAAACGCCATTTTAACCAGCAATATGTAAAGGAATAGTTGAGCCAATGACCAAACAAATTGAGTTACTAAACATGGAGGTTAAATGCATATATTCACTCCAGGAAATTGAAATATCTTCACTCAAAAAGGACAACATTAAACCACAGGTTGAGATAAAGTCACTGAACAATAAGGCTGACTCTCTAGAATGAACCGCGATGAACTCGGGAAATGGGTCGGTGAACTCTCTCCCATTTCAGGATATAACGATGACACCGAGAGACATAAAGACGACCTAGTTGTGGATTCATGTAATAATAAACTTGAAATGTCTCCACCCCTGACCACCGATGATAATAATCGTTCCCACATCAATGGCAATCTCAGGAATGACAAATGTCAAATCATATGTCGGTTCAGGAATTGGAAAATCAGAAATCTAATATTCATGTCAAAACTGTCCTTAGAACCCACAAATCAGGATAGTTTAATGTCTTTATCTCAGAAAGTCTTATAGACAGAGACAAAAACTTTAGTGATCTTTCTTTCACGTGCGCGTGAAGCCAAAACCAATGCCTCCTACTGGACGAATGACGGTCGAATATTATTCAAAGTCACGATGGACTCGCAGAAGACGATTGTTAAGTCATGCGACGATATCGCAACCTATATGTCACAAATGCTGATGAACAATTACACAGTGGTAGTCGCACAGACTAGTCTGTTAGTCACAAATTACAATGCGTCATAAAAAAACAAATTAACATAACAAATATTTGTTTTTATTAAGTAGATGAAGTCTATTCCATAACGCCAAATATGTAATGTTAACATTTGTAAATGAATGCACATGCGTATGCTTTGATGTAAATGCGTGAAGTCGTGTGTGTGTGTGTGAGTGTTGGTGTGTGTGTGTGTGTGTGTGTGTGTGTGTGTGTGTGTGTGTGTGTGTGTGTGTGTGTGAGGGGAGGGGGCGGAGAATAAAGGTATGGATTTGCGATGTTAATTCAAGTAGTTGTGTTATGGTAATGCTTAATTGAATTAAATATAGTTCCGGCAGCCATGGTGAGTTAAAGAGTCCCGGCAGCCGTGGTAAGGTAAATAGTACCGGCAGCCGTGG